CAAAGTTTGATGAAGTTTTATTTTCCAGAACAAAATGCAGACTGATCAGGGTGCGCAGGAGGTTCAGGGAGAAGCTCAAAAAGAAACGGAGGAGAAGACGACACCAGAGAACGAAGAAATGGAAGTAAGACGCCCCTTTTTCATTTAAACCATATAAATYTATATATAAATAAATAAATACGTATTTTTCAAGAAATCTGATTGATCAGTTTTGTGCTTTAACTTTGTGATCTGATTGTTCTTTCCTATTTTTAGACGAGCACAGAGGAGGGCAAGACTGAGAAAAAGTCCGACCAGCCCCCTCAAGCCAAAAAGGCTAAAGTCAAAACAAAAGTTCTGGAGCTTCCCATTGAAAACAGCCCGCAGTGGCAGCTGGCCAACGACATGCTCAATCTGTTTGTGGAAAACGAGGTAACGGTGTTTTTCAGTTACACACCCCTGCTGTCAGCAGTGTCGTCCAGTGGTCACAGTTTGTTGCCTCTGCAGGGTAAGATGATCATGCAGGACAAGCTGGAGAAGGAGAGGAACGATGCCAAGAATAACGTGGAGGAGTACGTGTACGATATGAGGGACAAACTGCACGGGATGCTGGAGAAGTTTGTCAGTGAATCTGTGAGTAAGACGGTCACCGTGGACTCACAACAAGACGTGCCTTCACTGCTTGAATAATTGTCAAATGTGCTTTTGTTTGTTTCAGGACCGAGACGCTTTGTCACTAAAGCTGGAGGACACTGAAAACTGGCTGTATGAAGAGGGAGAGGACCAACCAAAACAGGTTTACATTGACAAACTGGCAGAGTTGAAGGTAAATARTGGCTTGATTACAATTGTCTTTGTGGATTTAGTTGTATATTAAACTAACGTTTGCGTTACAGAAACTTGGCCAGCCCATCCTTGAGAGGTACATGGAGGCAGAAGAGAGGCCCAAAGCTTTCGATGAGATGGGAAAACAAATTCAGCAGTACATGAAATTTGTTGAGGCATACAAAATGAAGGTGGGACTGAAACTTTATTTTATACCTTTTTATCCTCACACGTGTGTTAACTCATAACCTGCTTTAAAATCTGATATATTTCCTTCGTCCAGGATGAGCTGTACGATCATTTGGAGGAAGCAGATGTCACCAAAGTGGACAAGCTCACCACTGAAATGATGATGTGGATGAACAGTGCCATGAACCAGCAAAGCAAACAGAGCCTGACCGTAGATCCAGTCGTTAAAGTCAAAGAAATACAAGCAAAAACGAGGGTGAGTGTTTGCATTGCCACCACGGTTTGCCCGTCTAGAGTTGGGCGATATTGTCAAAAACAATTATTCAGTCATAATTGTGGCATTTAYTCYWTAATGATTAATATGCTGATTAACACCTGGTGCGTATAGTCACATGACCAATTTTAAATCTCTAACGAGAAAAATACTCCATCTCTAAGAATCTGCTTCAATTTGTGACTTCAAACTATACACTAGTTTTTAAATTGTTGATAGACCAAATAAAACCAGAATTATGATAAATAATTCAAAACTTTTTAAAATGTTTGTCATATTTGAAGCATGATGCAGGAAAAAAAAAACCTCACCCCCACCCCGCTGAATTAACAGAAAAGCCTCAAACTCTTTTCTTACTGATGCCTGAAATTGTTTGACAAGTGCCAACAAATCTACAGGAAGAAGAAAATAAAAAGATGCAAAAGTTGAATGAAGTTCGGTGGCGATGGGGATTAAATGAATTCTTGTGATGCTGCTAAACATCTGCTAAAATACAAACAACTGCCAACTTAAATGGAAGATTTTTACAAACAAATAACTTTGTGTTTGTGTCAAAATTACTTCTGGGCTGGACTATTGTTYTAGGAATCAGAGGTTCTTTTTCTTTAATGTTTTTGTTTGACTTCCCAGGAGCTGTTCTCTGCTGGGAACCCTATTGTGACCAAGCCCAAACCAAAGGTGGAGCTGCCCAAGGACGAGGCGTCCGTGGAGCAGAACGGTCCCGTGAACGGACAGGAGAAGCCACCAGAGGAAAGCGCAGACAAAGGAGCAACTGAGAGCYCAGGCAATCCAACCCCAGAAACAACAGATAACAAGCCGGACATGGACCTTGACTAAAGCAGCCTCCTGAAGCAAAGCTAAACAGGAGCTGATGGAGTCAGACTGAGATGCAGCCTGGCTCCYTAACAGAGCTGGAGGAGTGTTCTAGGAACTGCACACGACAGTCACAAAGCAGGCAGAATGTTGAGCGCACCGAGCCCAGCTCGAGGTGGCACGTCTGCCTGATGACATAGCATGCCCTCTGTCTTTCTGGATGACTTAAATCTAAAACCAGCTGCAAATATTCTGTTTGACAACGAGCGCTGTACACATGATGGTATTTATTTCTGTTGTGTGCTCTGTAACTGTTCTGGTCTGTGTCACAATATGGTTTTAATAAAGTGATTGAAGATCTCTCACACTTATCGTTATCACTGTGARGATAATGAAAAATAAATATGCTGCATTGTTAAATGAATAAAATGTCTGTGTCCAGACGTTGCTTAAGGCTGTTGTCCCCAAGTTTAACTAATATTTCATTTCTTACCCACAACTTTTCATGAGAGGGTATTGTTTTAATGATGAGGTCTAAGATTCTTGTTTCAGAAGGAAATAGTTTACACGGTACTAAATGTTGCCATATGTTTCACTAAATTAATGCGACAGGATTAAAAAACCTCTTAACCACAGCTAGAAGCTTGCATGTGCAACATTTATCTAAAATGGTTATTCAGTTGTACATACTGGCTAATAAACAGCATTTTGCTCATCAGATGAAAGTAATTATTGACCTCCTATATTAAGCRACGTTAGCCTACAATAAATTAACTACAGTAGGTAGAAGTAAAAACAGTATTTACAAATATAAAAAAATGCTTTAAATCCGTGTTTTGAGTTTGCTCAATATACCAATGATTCACTCATGATTCACTGAGTATGTATACAGTGTGTGTGTGTGTGTGTGTGTGTGTG